ATCTGACAGGCGTCATTGCAAACGGTAGAGACCCTAGTATATATGTATACACGTGGTTTCCGTATTTCAAACATGATTCGAACACGGTCGCTACTTATGTTATGAGAACCCTTGTCGAGATTCAAGGGAGCGGGACGCCACTGCCACGATGTTTGCGCATTCAAGTTGATAACTGTTGGCGGGAAAACAAGAACAAGTACATATGTGCGATGGCTGCGCTGTTGGTTAAGTTCAAAGTTTTCGAAGAGGTAGAAATAGGTTTCATGCTGGTGGGACACACCCATACAGACGTTGACGCTACTTTCAGTGTTTTCTCGAAGAAATTGAAAGACATAGACGCTTATACTATGGACGATTTCTTCGAGCTCATAGAGCAATCGCACAAAAAGCCTCCCAAATGTATTTTCCTCGATACGATGGAAGATTGGATTAGTATAGTAGACCCGTGCGTTGCGTCAGACATTACCGGTATTTCGAAACCGCACTTGCTTAAATTTTTKATGRTTGGAGATAATCYGGGCATRTTGKACAAGGAGTTTTGCGATGACGAYGAATGGTTGYCCGAGGAAGGTCCRATTTATTKGTTCAATCAAAACCCYGATGAGAGCTATGCAGGTYCTTCGYGGCCGTTTGACCCGCCTCATGTGCAACMCCTTCCTCGAAATGACTATTTGAATGGCAAAAGTGGTGTTGTTCGATTCTGCGAGTTGCTGGAGAGTAGGCGGTCGACGTGGTGCACTTACAATGACCATKAGGTGAGTAGGAGAGAAAGAGCTTTGTGTTACTGGAAGGAGGTTATCAAACATGGCGATGAGATCATCGCCAACGGGTTGTCCTCACAACCTCAAGAAAGTTTTTGGCCATGACCACGGTTGCTCGAAAGCGATCAACAACCTCCTCCTCGCAGTGTTAACATCGACGACAGGGAACCCCCGTTTGTTGGACGAAGAAAAAATCGCTCGAAGACTAGTTTCGACCCCCTCGTGCATGTTGACGTGGGCACTTTTCTTATCCTTCGCCCCTCAGACGATGATCTGTCCAGCGGTGTGCCAATCTGGGTGGGCAAAGCGCTTTCTCGGGTGGTTATTGATTATAATTCGCAAAATTATAATCAAGTGCTAGTGGAATATTGGGTGCCGACTGGGGGAGCTAAGTCGCTCGAACAACTGTATGAGAACGCATGGGAAAAACGATGGAAAATGACTGAGCAGACACAATGGCAGGATGCTGACTCGATCGCTTTCGGTTGGGAGAAACCGGTCCGAGGTACAAGACCATTCACGACTGGACTTGTCATTCCTTCCAGTGTTCGACTGAATGCTGAAGCTGCACTTCTAGATCTGAGTCCTTCTGGTGAAGGGAGTGCAGATGGAGGGGACAAGGGCGGCGAGTGCACATCCACCGAATAAACTGAGGGAGTGAGATTTTTGAAAATAACTGTTTGGACGAATGAGAATTTAGACGGGAGTATATTATTTTTGCGATGATTCTGCGTGGCGAATTTTGTCCACGTTCCACGGTTGAATTTTTTAAGATGGTTGGTGATGGTTCGATAATTTTCGAAGTTAAGTTTATCATGAAGGCGATTTTTTTACTATTTCCACATTTCATTTTCATTTCTGTTTGCATTTCATGTGTTGTGTAGGGAGTGCGACAGGAGTCCTGGACCATCGGCATGATTATGCATGTCCCATTCACCCTTGTGCATGCGGATTCTTAGGTTCGGGAGGCGATACCGAAAACGACCCGTGGATGACCATCGTCCCCTTCTTTGACAAGCCTATCGATGCGTGGTCCGAGGCAGAATGGGATAGAGCCATCTTGGCAAGGAAATGCCCATGGCATAAGGACTACAAATTTGCTTCCGCGATGGAGTGGGGAAGTCTGATCAAAGTACCTCATTATGCCATTGGTGTCAGACAACTTCCGTCCCTGTGCGCCGCGCTCAGGCAAGAAGAGAATAACCGGTTTTACCTTCGCCTGGACAACGTAACGAGGTCACCTCGGGTGTGGTGTGCGGACTTGAAACAAGAGTTGTTGGACTGTGCATCCTACAATCCGTTTTTGGAAGTATATCCGCTGCGTGGTGCCGGGTTACAGCCAAAAAATGTGTCATATTGTTGCATACGGTTGTCTGTGGCCGGTTCCGACTTCTGCAGAGTGTTGTGTGTGGCATGCTCAAACCGAAAGCGAACTTTGGTAGACGTTGTAGTGCTAGTTTTTTGCAACAACCTTAGAATCTATGGTTGCAACATGGGGAGTTTGCGCCTTCTGTACGAGAACGAACAATCCGATTTGGAGATTGTCAGTCGAATTAATGAGGTTAATAAGTGGCATGAGGTAGAGCAAGTGACATGTTGTGTGCGTGACGCCATCTGTAAGTCCTTGGCAGGTGCCTGTAGGTTTGTAAGGATGAAGTACATTTCGGTGTTCTCGAGGGAGACGACGAAGGGACAGCCACAAACCCTTGTTTTCGGGTCGTCTATGAATGCATTATATGGGTTTGGTTCTAAAGGGATGCGGGGACATCTGTAGGAACTTCAAATTTTGTAAATGATAGCGTTTTTGAAAGTTTACATTGTTGCGGCTTGTAGCGTTTCATGTAGACGTAGTTCAATGTACAGTTGGTTTGTAACGTTTAATGTAGACGTACTTCAATCTTGCATTTGCGATTTCTTGCACGTGTCGGTACAATGTTGAACTTTAGTTACCAGTACAATTTTTGACTTTTAATTTTTCATGGGTACGACATTTCTTGAAGTGAGACAAAATCCATGGTACTCACGTGAATTTGAGTTTCATATGACAATGTCATATCGGTTTATGATTTTTTGTCAAAGTGCGCCGGAATCCATACATAAACCACATAGTTTCGCTTCACACAATGTCATGTGTAATACGTCTGATTCAAGTGCATTTCAATGTATGACAATGACATGTCAGTGTCGTCTTTAAGGTCACATAAATTGTCAAAGTGTGATAGAGTCCAAAATTATCGAAGTATCACAATGTTGGAATCCATCCTTAAATCACACCAAACAGACTGAGTGTCACGTCTTTTAATAAGTACTGTGTAGTACATAAATTATCGAAGTGCGATGGAACCCATAGTCACTGTACTTAAACCGTAATCTCGTTTGTCGTGTCATTCGTTTGTCGTGTCATTCGTTTGTCGTGTGATTCATTAAACTTTATCGTGATTAGTATACATTTAATACAGTTAAAACAAAAATTATCAAAGTGCGACGGAATCCATACTTAGTCTAGACTATTAGTACTGAAACTATCCGTGTGCTTGCCGTAAATGTCCCACTTCGATTGAGTTTCAATAAATTAAGGGAAGTCACAATGTCATCTAAAAGAGGTTCGACTCAATGCTAACTCAAAATTGAGCAAGGTGTAAAGAAATCGAAAGTTCAACAATTCATGTTGTAACCGCAACGACTTTTAAGTTACAAAATTGATGGAAGTGCAATGAAATCCACACTTAATCCATCATGATTAGTAAGTGATTGCCTTGAATCTCCAGTTTAGATTCAATTTATGGCCTCTCAATTGCATTCTTTGGGTTCCTAAGTTCCATTCAGGTCCAAAATATAGCGATTTTAACATGAAATTAATAGCGTGCGAGTACCAATTTAAAATATAATGTCCTATTTTAAAGAATAACATGTTAAGGGGATGCTGCCGGGAGGCAAAACGCACCCAGTCGCAACTTTCCCACATGGGAGAATAGAACCCGCTAGACTAGCTCTACTACCCTCGCTTCCCCCCTTTAAGCACCCTTACCATATATCCCCCTCCCCGGAACCCACTCCTTTACCCCCCCACCAGCCATAGTTGGCATGTTTCAATCCCCATCTCTCTCTTGTTCCACACAAAAACCACTGTTTTCATCTACTTGTCACCCCACCAGCCGTAATTGGAAAATCACTCTTTCCCCCTCTATTTTTCACCTTGAGTCTTTCATGTCCTTCCTGAAGCAACATATATCCCTCCCCGACCCAGCTAATCAGTATTTACAATTTTTTCTTTACCCTCTTTCTCGTTTCACATCACTCTACCTCCTTCACACCTTTCATCTCCCTCCCAATCTGCACCACTTCCAACCCCCTATCTTCATCCCAGTATTCGAAACCTCTGAGTTTCCACAGGCTGTACCATTACCCCCACAACCCTCGGTCTGAGTATGAGCTATTCTGTATCACTACACTTTCACCCTCAAACTACCGTGATCTGTCCCCCTCGCCCACCTGCAGTCTGGGTGAAAAGCACTTCCCTGCGATTGCTCATCCCCTGAGTTCTCCTACCTCAAGTCTCCACCTATCTACTCTCAGGCTGCTGTGATCTTTATCCTTCACTCCAACCAACCCCTTTGTTAATATACAGCAGACACTCAGTTCAATACAACTCTTGAACCCACCGTCAACAAGTCACCTACCCGAACCCTGAACCCACCATCTATCTACTAAGCCCTTGAGTATGTACAAACTGCGGCAGTCAGGCTCGGTCGACCCTTTTGCTAATATACAACACCCCTTTTAACATGCAAAGCATCTAATCCAACCACTCGGTTCAACACTACTCTTGAACCCACTATCAACAAGTCACCTATCAAACCTAGCGCCCATCCTTTGTCTACAAAACCCTTGAGTATGCACATTTCACCACTATTACGTCCAAACCGAGAGCCCACCGTTTATCTACAAAGCCCTTGAGCATGTACACACTAGTACGTCCAAACTCAGAACCCACCGTCTATGTACAAGAGCCCTTGAGCATGTACAGACCGTCGGAACCAAGCTCCCTCCCCTAAACAAAAACAGTTATTCCCCATTTCACGCACCACGTCCAAACCCAAAGCCCACCATCTATCTACAAAGCCCTTGGGCATGTACAAACTGCAGAAATCAATCTCCCTCCCCTTAACAAGCATAACCATTTTCCATTTCACATACTAATACATCCAAATCCCACAAAAGCATATAGGTATATGCAAACTAACAATGCCACTGTCGACATGGATCTTCCCATCCCCCCTTCCCCAGCTTATACACCATCAGCTCCCCCCTCTTCTGTTGACACCTCTGGTGCAGTCCCATTTATGGTTTCCCCCTCACAGACATTCTCGCACCCCATTTGCGTGTCTTCGGTCCCTCCCAATTGTGTCCGCACCCCCTCGTTCTCGATTGTGTAGCTCTCTCCCTGTGTCGATCCCCCAGATCTGTTCCCGGTTGAGTTGCCTTCCTGTTTCCTCACAAAGTTGTTGCTCCATTCCCACTGGCCCGTCTCCGCCCCTATCCACAGCAAGTCCGTATAGTGTTCCCACGCATCCTTGAGAAATTGCCAGCTCCCATTCTGTCTTCTTTGTATGTCCGCCATCACAGCAATCCTCAGATTGGTAAAAAACCAATGCCTCAAAGTCACCCCTTCCCTCAATGTTCTCCCCCTCATTGCCCCCAATGCTCCCCAAAGGGCCCCTCTGACCACAACTCCCGCGTACGCCTGCACAGGGCGGTTCGCTCTACCTGCCAGCAACTGTCCAACCATCACCGCCGCTCTATGGTTCGTGGATCCCGGATGAAGCGGTATTTGCACCCCCACTGTTCCCCACCATTCCCAAAAAAGTCTTTGTGGCTCACAGTCCAACCACAAATGCGGTATGGACTTCTCGAGTCCCTGTCTTCACATGCTTTACAGAGCGTATCAGTATACAAACTGTAAGCAGCCATCCACTGATATGTGGGTACCGCCATCTACAAGTTAAGCCACAAACCCCCCACCTGTTTCTGATCCGGCAACATAGTGAGTAACACACAGGCTTTCTCCCAACTCTGTTGCGTCCACTCTCCCAGCTCGTTCGGTTGAACCCAACTCTTTTTCTTCCATCTTTCCCACATCTCGTCCGCCATATCCGTTGGTGTATTCAACGATCTGTATATCACTTTGGTCGTGGTGTGATGGAGGGCAGACGAATGCCTCTGAGAGTTCGTCGCTCCCCATTCCCACATCGACGGATCTCATGGAATGTTTCGGGGATGTTGTCTCACTTTGAAGGGTATGGAGCTCTCCCCTTTCTTTTGTCGTTTGTCTATGACCACTACAACCGATCTCATATTGTTCTTATGTATTATGCCATCCCTTTCCCTCCACCTTATCATTGGTTCTCCCAACGCCTCCTCCGACTGCAACACTTTCCATCCCTCCCCCCTGTACCATCCCACCTGTACCTGCACCTTTATTCTGAAGAGCACTGTTGGCGGATCTTCCAAATTAAGGGTCACCCACTCCCCTTCGGCCCTCCCATTGGTTTGCAGTCTCTGTATCCAATTAGTCGGTACCGTGTGTCTTAACCTGGCCAATCTCATCGATCTGTCCGGCTGATGCCTAAGAGCCATCTCCAATTGCTCCTCCTCTTTCCATCCTCCCTTCTCCTCTTCCGACAGATCCCCCACCCTATACACCCCGCAGTTGAGCCACTGTCTCCCAAATGCTCCCCGTTCCCCCGCCATGGAAATGGGTGTCCGTTTATATTATCCGCTCATTCCCAAACAGCGTCTGTCCCAATATTTGTGTGACCGATTGTGGTTCCATTTGCTTGAGCGCAGATCTCCTCCATTTCTCCAGGGTCGGGGACCACAGTTCGTGCCTGGCTAGGCCCTTTTGCAGTTGTGGATGCAGCAGAGCTGTTTCCACATTGGTCGGTTCCATCCGTGAAGCATGTGCCATGCTTCCGAGTGTAACCACTTTCCAGGGTGCATCATCCCTCTCGAGCAGCAACCGCAACATTGTTCTCATTTGGAGCGTCGTCGCTTGTTTGTGGGGGTCCAACTGACTCCAACAGACCCAGTCCACCCACCTTCCGGGGTTGAGTCAACTTCTCCCATCTGACCCTGTAGATCAAATGCAGTATATGCGGGTCGTTTTTCCATAGATATCTTCTCAATCCCAAATTATATTCCCTCCATGCCCTCTTCCCAGGATCTGACAGTGGCACCACGTACCACATCGTGGATGAGATTGCATTGTTGGCTACCAACACCCGTCCCATGACTCCCACGTCGGTTCTCTCCGCCCATCGGTTCATTTTCATCAGTGCCTCCATCAGCAGGGTCTCCATCTGTGTACCTGTAGTCAATGCCGTCGGGAGAAGAGCACCCAAGTATTTAGTGTTCTGATCCCCTCGCACCGTTCTCATATCTGCGAAATGCTCCTCCCCTCCCTCCTCCGATAACATCACTACCGACTTCTTCCAGTTCACTTTCGCCCCCGCATATTTCTCAAATAATTGAACCTGCTCTCTCACCGCCAATACACTATCTTCTAAACACTCGACAAAAGTCTCCGTTTCGTCTGCAAAACTGTTAGATTTCAGATCCTCTTCACGCAGAAGGGGAAGGCCCCGGATTTGTGTATCTTCACGTAGCATCTCATGCAGATGTTCCACATACAAAACATACAATGCCGACGAAAGAGGGCAGCCTTGACGCACAGATCTTATGGCTGTCATCGGGTGCCATCTGAACCCGTTAATATGTACCGTTGCCTCCGCCGAGGCTAACAGATTCTGCACCGCCTCTCTAAGCTTCGGTCTCACCTCTCTTTCCTCCACGCCTCGCAATAGAAAGCTCCAACGCACCCTGTCGTATGCCTTCTCAAAATCCAATAACAGCACCCTCAAAGGTGGATCGAAATCTGCAGCTCTTTGCATGACCTCTCTCACCATGATGACGTTGGTTAAAATCTGTCTTCTAGGGACAAATCCCGTTTGAGTTGGATGTATCAACAACGGTCTAACGGAAGCATCACAAATATACGATTGGCTAGCACCTTGGCATACAGTTTGTAAGGAGCTCAGAGCAGTGACAACGGCCTCCAGTTTCTTATATCCATCAGGTCCCCTTTTTTGTACAGCAGGATTATGACCGCCTCCCCAAATCCCTCCGGAAGTCTCTGACAGCCATTGAAGAACGAGTTGTAGAGCTCCTGCAGCAACGACGCAATGACCTTACCAACCGCGTGCAAGTGGTCCATCGGCATCCCATCCGGCCCCGGCGCCTTGTTTCACGGCTGATCTGTTAATGCTTTCATGATCTCCTCCGCTGAGATCTCCTCCTCCAATCGTGCCCGCCGCTCCTGGTTAAGAGTCGTACCACATTTGTCCCAGATACAAAGTCCTGCTTGGTGTCTCAGATCCAACTCTCCCCAGTCCTCTGTCTCTGTGCACAGGTTAGAGTAGAATACGTGCACATACTGGAGCAATTGCAAAGTCGATTCTGCCACCGGCGCGTCTTCCTGGAAAGGATGTCGCAGGGCCGTCACCAACCTGCCTGCTCTTTTGTTCTTCATTTGTTTTAAAAAAGTTGTCGTAATTTTGTCCTTCAATCTCATCCATCTTGCCTTGGACAACACCCCCCATTTCTTAGCATCCTCCCTCTCCCATTCCTCCCAACCAGCTTTAATTGCCGACCATTGTATCCAACATTCCTCTTCATCCTCCCGTTCTGGGTCCGTTCCCAGTTCCTCCATTCTCTTGATATATTATTCCTCCGTGCGGAGGTGTGCCTGTCTTGTCGCATGGGCCCTAGCCAACATTATGCGTTTCGGCTCTCGTATACCCTGCTGAAAGTGGAGCGCTACTGACACCCCAAGTCTTCTCAATGTCTCCCAATATTCCCAATGTTGTCTCGCAAGGCGTGTGTGCAACGGATCATGGAACATCCAATGCGGTACTGTTGGCGGCGGGGCTCGTGTCGCCAGCAGTGCTGGAAGCAAGATCTCTTTCAACAACAACTTGTGATCCGATCACAGTGCAAAGTGTTCACACTTAGAATTTATAAAAAATGAAAAACGAAAAATTTGAAAATCGGTTAAACCACCAGTACCTCTGCCAGTGTTAAGAAATTGCGATGTCTTGGTCAGTACCCGAACGTTTCGGGGTGGGACACAGGGTTGGCAATGTCCCATAAATCTGAATTTTATAGTAACGGAAAAAAGGGGGAAAAAAAATGTTTCTCTACTGCAATGATGTCGGGCTGGGTAGTCAAGGAGGCCGTGCTCACAATCTTCCTCCACAGAATGCACCTTACAGGTAAGACGGTCAAGCAAATAAAAAAACGTTCCAACCATAGTAGTTACAACCGGTTTTCAAAAAAAGATTAACCCGTGCATAAGTAGATCTTATACAAGCATCCATAGATTAAAGCAGAATCCACATTTATGAGATTGCTTCGATGAATGAGAGTTAAGAATGAGATTTGGAACAAACAAAGACAAGGAATTGGAAGGGAAGAGGAATGAGCCAGAAAGGGTCTTTCCTTGCAGAGCAAAGAGAAAGTAGGAAGATGATCATGCATAACTTGGGAGATCATAGCAAACATGCACTGAGAGAGTTGGAAAGGAGAGAATGTGCCAATTAAGCTTTACATTTACAAAGGAAGTCATACCGTCATTGCCAATGAGAAAAAATGAATGCTTCTGATTGCAAAACGGCCTCATTGTCCTCAATCGTCGATATAGTTTTATCGAAGGAAAAACGGAATGGAGGTGATGGGAGGGAAGGGGGACAGAAAATAAAAAGCAGATAAGGCGGGGGAAAGGGGGAAGAGAGGGAAGAAGGATCCTGCTTCAGTTCTATCCTCCAGATCCGATGTGCTCCTGTATTCCGCACGGATCATCTCACCGAATCGCAGGAAGGGCGTGGCAATTCCCTAAAGCGCTTTCTGCCCCATGCCACATGGGGCGTCGTCAGAGAGAGGGACATCTTCCATGGTCCTTAGAAGGCGGGGGGGCAGGGGAAGGTGTGTGAGGGGGGATATTGTGAAACAGAGATGTTGGATCGTTCCGGGGATGGAGGGCGAAGGTCGGGGGATAGGTGGAGGGGGAGAGAGGGGGAGAGAGATCATGTGGAATGGGACAAGGAAGGGAGTAGATGAAGTAGAGGAAGAAGAGAAAGGAGAGGAAGGAAAGAAAAGCTAAAAAAACACATGATGAGGCCTCCGCTACCGTCCTTTGCTCCATTGTGTTGTGCTACTTGCTGCTTGCCGCTCCCTCTCCTGCTCAATCACTACGCCTACGAACAGCTCCGAGCTCGAAAAATAGGCAGCAGCAGCATGCAAGGAATCGGGTAATAAAGCAGATGGTACCCCTCATCAGCAGAGCAAGGCGCTTAGAAGATAAGCGGAGAAAGACACTGCACTCTCAGAAAGACACGCGATAAATAACGCACTGGCTATGGCGAGATTCGGTAACAGAGCGAGGAGAAGGAGAAGAGCGAGGGCGGCGCTTAGCATAGGCGTGAAGGGGCATAAGCAGGCCACGAAGGGTTTAGCAGGGCAGGTGGTGGCGGCCTACGCTTGGCCAAGGCATGATTCAGGCGCAAGTTCGCGTAGACAAGAACGGGAAGGTGACACACGTCGATAGTGTTACCACTTCCTTCGTTTCCCGTTGGTCCTCTCCCAAGTCTCACTCCGTGAAGAAATTCATGTTGTCCGCTATGACACCGAGCCTGCTCCGTAGCGCGAAAACCGGAACGCACCATGCCCTATCCGCTGTCAGAAGCAATTACCACGCGGTGGTCCGATGAATAGTACCTCCTATGCCCTATCTAAAGATAGTAACGGCGTCCCATTAGGAATAGCATCTTTCTGATGGAAGCCACCGTTCATATGGAAGCTCATACGTTTGATGCCGTAATCTCACGGCCGTAAAAAAAAAAGAAAAACAAAAAGAAGAAGAAGAAAAAAAAACGGAAAACCGAAAGAGTGAAAGGACGACAGAAAAACTAGGACCAAACCGAACAACGGCCCATCCCCGTCCCGAAGTGTCCACTAATCGCGTATCACCTCCCTTTTCTCATTATAGTCCAAAAGCGAGTCAGTCCCATAGTTCGTACTTAATCGGTTATACCGTGGGAGGGGACCCTCCTTTTTCTACACCCAAGCTGTTGGCGAACAAAAACTCCAGGTTTTCCCTTATTATCATAAAGGGCGAAAAAAAGGGGAAAAAAGGGGGGAAAAAGAAAGAAAGAAAAAGAAAAAAAAAGGCACAAAAGAACAGAAAATGAAAAAAAAAAGAAAAATTTAAGAAAAAAGAAAAAAAGAGAAAAAAAGAAGAAAATGAAAAAAGGAAAAAAAGAAAAAAGGAAAAAAGGAAAAAACTTCAAAAAAGGGATAAAAGAAAATTGGAAAGAGAGAGAGAGAGAGAGGGAGCGAGATCCCTCAACCCTGTGGGTTCAACCGTCCCGCTCCCAGTCGTCTGCTCTCTTCCCCTGTGTGTCTCTCTTCCTGTATTTGTGTGTGTGTGTGTGTGTGTGTGTGTGTGTGTGTGTGTGTGTGCGCGCGCGCATGTGCCGGGGGGAGGGGAGGGAGGACCCCTCCCCCGCCAATCAATCAATCAATCAATCAATCAATCAATCAATCAATCAATTAATCAATCAATCAGTCAATCAACCAATCAATCAATCAATCAACCAATCAATCAATCAATCAAAAAACAATCAATCAATAAATATTTTTTTTCTTCTATTTTTTTTAATTTTTTTGTCACTCACCGAAAACCACCCCCCCAAATTTTCAGTTTTTTTTTTTTTTTTAACAAGGTGGTAGTGGCCGACGTGCACAGACGGCGCGCGCGTCGTTTTTCAGCGCGCGCCCCCGCCTGGCCTTGGCGAGGTCACACGCAAGCTCGGTCCCGGGCCCACGGCCGGCCTTCTATGAAACACCCGCGGACGCGTCCGCGGGTCGGATCTAGGATGGTAGACGCAGATGGGGCCGCGTCCGCGGCCGACCTGATCCGCGCCGCGGACCCGATTTTACCAGACTTTTCCTGAATTAAATAATAGGTTAAAGAAAACAAAAAAAATATGGGGCTGTAGGGAATGTTAAGCCCTACAACCCCATATTTTGTTTTTTGGAATCCGACTTTGTTTAGGATTTTTAAAAAATCAAAAACTAAATCCGATTTAAAAAAAATTAAGAAACAAAATATAAAGAAAAGCTGGATTTTTTTGGTCATTTTTTATCATGAGATATATGGTACCTGAGTTCACCTGTATTTTTGTAGAAATGAATTTCTGTTTTTTGCAGTGGTATGAGGTTTTAAAAAAAAATGCAGATGCAAAACTTGAAAATAAATAAAGAAAAAACTTCAAAAAAGGGGTTTGATTGATTGATTGATTGATTGTGAGTGAGTGAGTGAGTGAGTGTGTGTGTGTGTGTGTGTGTGTGTTTGTGTGTGTGTGTGTGTGTGTGTGTGTGTGTGTGTGTGTGTGTGTGT